TTAAATTTTTTGTAAGTTCGATATCGACAATAATTCGCTGTACGTGGGTTCATTCTAACCGGTTTAACTGTATAACCCCACTACAACTCCGGAATTACGATTTCCCTAAATCTAAAGCCTGAAGTAAACGGCGAACTTTATTGTCCGATACAGAATCCAGCCATATCAATACTGGTCCTGCTGGTTTTATTCGTGACTTTTTGTTCTTCTGAGCACTCCTGTCGCAAATATTTTTTTTTGCTACATTTTTTTGCCTTTGGTGTTCGTGTCAGTCTGCCATGTTTGGGGCAATAAAAAGTGGTCAAATGCCTTCTTCACCGGAATGACAGTGTCTTCGCAGTTTATTCTCTTCTGAACCCACGCAGGGCACCTGCACCTAAGGTGTTAGGTGCTTAGTGAGTTGCGTCACCACAAACCCCGAGCCTTGTGGGTTCACCTGTCCACCTGGCTGTGCGTGGCTTAACCTGTGTCCAGGAATAAGAGGATCCTTGTGGTTAAGCTGAGCCCGGGGTTTGTTTGGACCCTGAGGGGCCCCCCGGGTAAGGCAATATACCACTTCAGCTCTTGTTTCTCGTAGACGGGTATCCTGGCTTAACCCGACCAAGATGATTCATTCAGTCGCCTCTTCTACCCTCTTCTTTCACTTTTCCTTCCACCTCTTTCTCTTTCATTCCACTCTCTCTTCCCTTTTCACCTCCTTAGGTGGCAAGGCCCAACCTTGGGTGGAAACAGGCTCTTTCCCTGCAACCACACTCTGGTATGATACCTAGGCAGCACTGGTAGAGTATGTCAGCAGAGTCTTTCTCGTTATGGCACAGTACCTACCCTCTGTTGGGCTCTGTGGTGGGCGGTGCACCTGGGCACTGAATCTCCTTCCCATGTGTTCTGGGTTCTAAACAATAAATTTTCCTTGATCGGCCTCCGAAAAGGGGCCTCACCAAAGCACTATTCTCTGAAAAAACAACTTGCATACCTTCCAAGTTCCGCAAGTTTCTTGTTATACACTTGGAGGGCGATGAACCTTTTGGTAAGTTGTCCCTTATCTCGGTTTGAATGTTTTGAAGGAGTGATTGGAAAAAACTACAATTGAAAAAAGACGTCCTCCGGTGATCTCCTTGTAGAAATACGCACTAAGCAAGACCTGTACTCCCAATCTTGGTGGTGCAGGTCACTCGTTTGTTCAAACGGGTCACTTGTATGTTCAAGAGTTTGCTCAAACGGGTGACCATTTTGCATAAGCGGGTGACTGGTGACTCAAACTGCACCGGTTTAATCAAAAGGCTCTCCCATTATGCAGTGAGCCCGTTTGATACTGAAGTATAGAGTGCGGCAGAAGCATGCCTGTTTGACCCTTATGCAGTCTCGAGAAAGCTGTTTTCAATGTCGGTGCACATATCATCAATGTAGGCTGAGCAACGATGTAGCAATTGCGACGCAAGAGCCGACTGCACCTCGGTCTGCTGAAGTGTGAAAGTGGCACTCTTGTGCACCGTTAGCTTGCTGAAGATAGAAGATGCTGCTTTGTCGTTGCAAATCCTTTGCCCTTCAAACGCATGCGAAGCCGTTCCAGCTCTCGGTGTACCCTATGCAGCGCCCTTCAACAACCATTTGTACAGCATCGCAACCTTCCGTCTGTGAGCTCTAGCGGTTCATCGTCGCAGGGGTGCACGTTCGCATACTCGCATTCATATCGCGATGTGAACCGCCGGTGCTCGCAGACTGCCAAGAGGCGCCAGAAAGGTTCAATACTGCGTGGGTGGTGTGCTGAGCACTAGTTCGCAGGTGTTCGAAAGGCAAAATATAAAGGGCGATTCACATCCTTGCGTTGAGTCCGACTGAGTACAACTGCAACGGCTGCGACGTACAGGTTGTTACGGCGACACTTACTATGAGCCAATGAGTAGGCGCAGTACTGCGTGACGCAACGCAGTCAACACAAATGTGTGAACCAGCCTTTAAAAGGGCCCCGCAATCATAATTAAGCATCTACCTTTTTTGCGGTTTCCACGTCTCTTGGGGTTTGGGGCAAGCCAGCGGGCGTAAAGAAAGTAACTAAATATCAGTGCGTCGTATTTTAACTGGACGATGCGGAAACCTCCTCCACCTGTGGGGGCCACCCGCGGTGCCCAAAGCGTGCGATATGTGACGTCTGTGCCCCTTGTCTTATTACTGGTCAGAGCCGCTAAAAGCTTCTTTTTAGTCGAAATACAAAATATAAGTGGCACGAACCGTTAAATTATTTATGGAAGGAGTTTTTGTTCCGTATTTTAGAAGAGAAAGGAAACAAATGCAGTTTATAAAGTAAGGGAACAAGAAATGACCCTTCAACATACCCGCCACCAAGCGGTGGAAAAGGCGGCGCATACTAAAAAGGGGTAGTGCGATCAGGCACTGACGAGCCTGATCGCCTAAAAGGTCCCGGATGTACGCGGCGGCGCTGCGGTTGTATTTGGGCTCAAAGATCCGACTGGTTCTGAGCGTTTCGAAGGCCTTCGGCGAGCAGGTTTGGGCTTGCGGTTTGGCGGTATGGCAGCGCAATGTGGCTCCCGTTCTGAACTGACCTTTACCCCGTGTTTGCAGTCGTTTGTGGCCAGTGAAGTGTCATGCAGAATTAGTGTTTAATCGCGCAGCAAATGCAATGCGAGCCGCCCTGGCTGCCCGCTTAATACAGCCTATCCAGAACATGCTTTACTGGCACCCACTTGAGCCGTCGGCATGAAGTGCGGCAGCCGCGAGCGCTCGCTGAGCTCACTGCCCCTCTTCTAGTTCATGGCCACTCAAGGGACCAAGAACGTCATGAAGGAGGCTATTTTTTGCTTGTTTTTGAAATTTTATTTTGCCTATAACTTTTAAAATAAAGTGAAATTCCAGAAACTAAAGGTTTTATTAAGTTACTTTGTTCAGTGCGCTCAGGTTCAATGCAAATTAAAAACCAGTAAAAAAGTCCTTACAGGGCCCCTTTAAGGGCGATCCACAAACTTGCGTTGAGTGCGGCCGGGTACGAGGGTTGCTTCGGCAACAGCTGCGTCGGCTCCAACGAAACGGGGTAAGAACCGGTTTTGTTGGGGCCGACAAATAGGGCTGTAAATGCGACAAATAGGGCTGTAAAGTGTGTCGCTATTGTATTTGTAAACACAAATCTGTTGCTGTGGGCCCTTTTGCCAACGCTGACCTCAATGTTCCATGCATTCTTCTAACACTGCATGATGGTGTGCGCTACTTTGTAAAAGGGTCTATTACAGTCCCAGATTTAACTACAGTGTCATAGGTGATGCACGCAACATAACATTGCTTCGTCATTTTTTGAAGATTTGCTTGAAAATGTCAAGCTCATTTTTGTTTCTAGCTAATTTGTTTCTGCAACAAATTTGTAGTTTTTTTTTATATAGATACTTGTAAAAATGTCTACTTTGAGTAACAAGGCGTTACTCAAAAAGTAATTTTCCCATGAGCTCGGGGATTTTAAAATGCTTAAATATGGGGCAATCTGTTTTCAGCTTTTTTTTTTCTCAAAAGTGAAATTTGTGTGTTCGTTTATTGTTTTGATTACATTGATAAATCATTTTTGTGCAGTTGTCGAACTCTAGTACTTCTGCTACTGTTTGTTGCTTCTTGCTAGAAAATGCAGCCAAATGTAAAAACAGCTATTAAAGTCTTCCATCGTAAACCGGAGACACGGAAAAATAAAAAACGGACAAAACAACAACAAGTCTTGTTGTTGTTTTGTCCGTTTTTTTATTTTTCCGTGTCTCCGGTTTACGATGGAAGTTCTTCACCAGCTCGCCTGTGCTTTTACCCTTTCTTAGCTATTAAAGTGTCCATAAAAAAAAAATATGGCATAAGTAAAAAAGAATTTGTACAGTGAGAGCTGATTAAAGTATAACCTCACTCGAATCCCATTTAAGAATTACAATTTTCATCATTTTCCCATCTCTGCACAAGCCAAGGTTGCAGCTAGTGCGAAATTCGAAAAGGTAAAGTTAAAAATTTGCACCTGGTCAGACTTCACAATCTTATCTTCCAGAACTTGTTTTTTTTTTTTTTTGATTTTTCTTTTTCATATTTTTTGTTCTCCCTCACTCTCCTCTTTTGCAAGATTTCGTTTTTAAGCAGAGCTTTAGTGGAGCATGTCACTGTTACGAAAAGGGTAACGCAAAAGTACTGACCACAAATTATCTTCAGATGTCATGCTTCCCTCACATGTTGGGCTGTGTGGATGGCACCAATGTGGACACTAGATGCTCCGCACATGAAATTCCATCCATGTACACGAACAGACACAAGAAGTCCTACAGCATGCAAGCAATTGGTGATTCTGATCGCAAGTTGCTTGACGTCTTTCTTGGACATAAGGGGAAAACACATGACGCACAGGCGTTCAGGTGGTCCTTTGTCTTGGATGACTTGCCCCAAATCTTTGAGGGTGACAAGTATTACATACTAAGAGATGCAGCGTACCCCCTACAGGAGTACCTCCTAACTCCATCTAGGAACTACGGCAAACTCGCGTCCGACGAGGTGAACTACAACCTAAAGCTGAGCCAGGCGCTTGTTCGAATAGAAAATGCCTTTGGGCTACTAAAGGGACGCTTCAGGCAGGCCACACGGTTCATTCTTGCGTGTTGCGTCTTGCACAATTTGTGTATCGACGCAGGAGACACGGATATAGATGAAGACCAAGTAAGAAATGCAAGCAAGGGCCGTAAGCCAGGCCCAGGTGACGCTTCGGCTAAAGAAAATCACAAAAGGGAGAAGCTACTAAGGCAACTGGGTGAAGAAAAGAGAAAAAAAAATTGCACGCTACATCCGCACCTTTCACCTGTCAACTTTTCTGTGCACCACTACATTCCAGGAAAGTGTGCGGCACCTGCCAACCTTTTTGTGCACTCTTGTAAGGACATGACATAATAAAATTAGTATTTATGCATTTGAGCTGATGCTGTATTCTGCAGAGCAATAGCATATATAGTATAACAAAGTACAGCCTTAGAAACCAACCAGCAAAAGAACTTCATTAAATTTAATATTTACAAATACAAAAAGCGTAATGGAAGTCTCTGTCCATATAGAAGCACGTCTTGGCTCATAGTCGTAACATTTACATGTGTATCGTTAGACATCAAGATCTTTTTCAGGAGCCAGAAGACTGTGCAAAACATCCAACTTCTGTTTGTGGCGACGTTCCCGCTGCCCTTCTTTGTGCATGTGTATCTTCCCCATAATTTCACATACAATGTTCAGCTTCTGCTTCTTCGTGGGCGGTGTATCCTTGGCATTGTCTGGTTTAGTGCCATCCGAACTGCTTGAAATGGCCGAGGATTTCAACTCGACTCGACCAAAGTCCTCTAAGAAGTTCCGGTTTCACACTGTCATCGATAGACTTGATCTTCTGAAATTCCTCATCATGAGGAATAGAAACAGGATCTGCACCTGATGAGGCATTGTGTTCTCTCCGTTTCATTTGGCGTTTCTTTATAGTTTTAAAACGGTTTTGACACTGATCTGCCGTTTTCTGGGAGCCGAGGTCATGAGCCATATACGCCGAGATGGCTGCCCACATGGCTTTTTTGTTCTTAAAGGTTTTCATGGGCCCCACTCGGCTCAAATGGGCTTGAATATTTATCAAGAAGCAGCCTGGTTTCTCTTTCACTCCATTCACTTTGGGTTGGATGAGGGTCAGGCAGGATGCAGTCCTTTGCTTGGGAAGAACAGTTACCTGTTGTCTCTTCAGATTCTGGAAGCAACAAATAAGCTTAGATCGACGCACTGAATTATTTGGAACTAATAATAGTAGCTAAAACTCATTTAATAGAAAATCAGTTTAAAATTTATTGCAACAGAGAAGCAGTTTGCATTATTTTAGGTTACCTGTGGTGTATTTTAAAAATGAGTAGGGACTAGCTGTTTCAGCATGACTTGGCAAACGATAGGGTCCCAGTGAGCCCATCGGAGTGTTTGAGGGAAGCACCTGACAATGTACCGACAGTATGTTGACCGAGCTCTTGACATGCTTTGCTCTGTTGCTCCGACTGGCTCACAGGGGTAAAGCTTTCTCCCTTTGTCAGCTCATGCTGAAACAGAACATGGAACATCTTGGCAGATCCCAGCAAGAACTCTCAGCAACCCCACATTGCACTCCAAATTGTTGCGTTGTGCCAATGTACATATGTGTTTGTGTTGACCGACACACTTCATGCATCTCGAAGCAGCACAATCCCTTGTCTCTTATGAAGGACGGTCATCACTGTAACCATAGTCTGGAGCAGGGAGAGGACCTGGACAAGCCCTGACGGAAGGGACGGCGCTTCCTTGATGCCGATGAAGGATCGGCAGCTCCAAGGTGGAACCCACCGTAAAGAATAAGATGACTCGCTGGTGCTGAAGAACAATGGGTCTAAGTTGGTTGCCTTAGAATGTTTAATATGTACCAGTTCAATTGTGACGTCAAGCGGGAAATGAAACAAACACAAAACGTACACATACAAATGGCATAATTTAAGTAGTGTCATTTGTGAATACAAATATTATTTACAAATAGAGCATTGCCCCTCCCTTATACCGGCTAGAAGGGAGAATGTGGCAGGTTAAAATCTCGCTAAACACAAATTTTGAAAATCACTAAGTAATTAAGTAGGGGCACTGTTCCTTTAATCTCCAGCACAAAGTCATTGCTTCTAAAAAGGCAATTAAAATCCTCATCTCTGGCATTTCAGGTCACAATGTCACTTTTTCCCCTTTGATAAAAAAATAAAACTACCAGGTCACCATGCAGAGAAAGCTGAAACATAAAAAAATATACTTTGTAAATTCACAACCCAAGTTGTAGGTGTTTGTTATGGACATAACCCAGCCCAGGAGGCTCCTAACAAATTGAGCACTCAAGTGAGCTGCAGCAACTGCTGTACCTTTTTATGGCCTCCATAGTGAACTCGAGACAGGAATAATAAATAAAAACAGACAGAAAAACAAATTTGTGCTAAACAGAGCTTGTTGTCTCGGTTTTACTATGGATGTCGTTCACCAGCTTGCCTGCGTTTTTTCCTATTCTTCACGATCCTATGCAGTATGTACCATGTGCAGGTTATAATATGATACTAGTTGCACTGTCAGATCAATTCATCCTAGGACGCCTTCATGTGCGCTTTGCGAAGGGTGATGTCACTCTGTGTAGCACCTGATGCCAACAGCTGCACTCGTAAGGAAAGTACAAAGAAATAGATGGAAATAAAATGCTGCCTTAGCACAGTCAATACTAAAAGCTTATATCGGGAGACACTTTTTCACATGCTCCAGAAGAAAAATTAACATGCATCGCAATGAAAATGCAATGATGTCACTATACCCCGGGCAAAGCGCACACCCTGGTCCAACCTAACAAAAATGTGAGCTGATATCCATATAGAAAATGCACATGTCATGTCCTATTGGCGACGTGCGCAACCGAAAGCGTCACTGTGGTCGGCCATCCACAATTGGCCGAACGCTGACTATGACGTCGGAAAGGGGATTTATCATCAACGGAAATAAGAGGAATGAAAGAACTTTGATTTTGACGGTGTTGGCAGTGTTTCTTTGAGAGTGCAATGATTTCAAGCTTCCACCATGCTAATAACAAACACCATTGAACTTGTTGTTTGCAAAGTAATGACGTCACAAGGGGGTACCATAGGAGGGCGCCACCAAAACATCTTGCCGCTAATAACCTAGCTAGGAGTGGTTGAGTGGGCTAGTGCACATCAGCTCGGAACATGAGGGAAAGCTCGCGCTGCAGGACCCAGGATACTGGTTCAATCCCCACCCCTGCCTGTTTTGATCTGGATGAGCATCGTACCGGCGTGCGGTCATGTATCACTACTGCATGATGCCCGTTAAGCGAGTAATCGGTTTGTATAGAGCACACTTTGAATGGAAGATGTTGACAAGTGAGAGGAAAGAGTAAACCGTCATTAGTACGTGCTCAGGCTGGTGCGCTGGGAAAGCGGCCAGCTTGTGCTGGTGCAGCTCATTGGGGCTAGAGTGCCTTCATAATTGGGGCTGTAGTCCAAGCAAGCCGTAATTGTAAAATCTTAAAGGAATGCAATACCCTGGCTCTGCAAAGCAGAGCCTATGCAGTTACTCTACCGTTGCCCGATGCTGCTTTTGTTGTTCACCGGTTTCCCGCGCGCGCATTGGCTTCCGCCCTGTGACGTCACCCCTCTCGCCCGTGTCTTTCACTACTACTCTCTACGCAGCACGCTTCCCTTTCCACTGTTTTGTCCGCATGCGGACGGCGTGAGCTTCTCCCTGTCGTGCGGATACTGACGCCAATACTAACGCATAAGCACGACGCTTGCTTATGCACCGTTAGTCATGCCAAAAGATTTGTGAAATGTAACATCCGTGTTGTGTACAGAATACCGTTGACATGCGGTAGGGTGTACATAGGCCAGACAGGACGGTGCGTAAATGAGAGGATGCGCGAGCACATGTCATTGCGTTCAACAACAGGAAACGTGCCTCTTTATTGCAGAGATTGTCTATAGCAGCCCAACTTTCAAAATACGGTTAGGGCCCGTGAAAAGTTGCGAAGGAAGTGCTAAAGGCGCATGGGGAAAGGCTGCGTAAGCCAGCTGCCAAATTTTCTGCATCAAAAAGAGATTGATTTTATTGGCACGTGGTGGTGGGTGATATCGATGAGTAATTCATCGTTGTTTATTTTTATTATTTTTTTTTTTACTTTTTTTATCGGCGGTCGTTTGCTTTAGCTGTTTTTAAATAAATGTTGAGAGTAAGCGCTCGTCGATCTGTTCGCCTTCCTTAATTTTTTTTTGTCATGAAGCCACTCACACGCTTCGCCACTTTAGTTTATTTTTATTCTCGTTATTTATGGCATGATTTTAGTGTGGAGCTTTTTTGAAGTGTAATATGGATATTAAAATAACGCAATTTGAGCTTCACTACGCAACATTAAAGTCGCAGCAGCTGCAATATCGAAACCGCAACTTAATTTGTGGCAATGCTTGCATTTCTCAGTATAATAGTAAAGAATGGCCTGTATGTGCCAGACGTCTTTTTTATTATTATTTAGAATTTTAGATTATTGTCGTTGTAACGCTGTTGAAGCAACAAAACAGTATCGCATTAAAGTTAATGAAACTTGACACTTGAGACTGCTGGATTCAACAGAGCCGTTCGGAGCCGTTGAACTAGCAAAGTCAATTCGATAAGGCGGATGAGGCAGTTTTTTTTCTTTTTTTGTGTGTGTGTTTCCTTGCTGTGATTTCTTTGTGTACCACGTTATCACATCGAAGGAAACATTGGCCGAAATTTGAGCACCTGAAACGTTGCTTTCGTCTCTCAGACCAACTCGTTAACTCCGCCAGACTCGAATGAAGCCAGATCGTCAAGGCCAAGCCTTCCTGTTTTGTGCAATCTCGTTGGGTTTCTGCCACCAACTAGATTCTTGATATTGGATTTAAAACACTTCACACTTCTCTATCCTTAAATAGTAGCCTAATTAAAGCTGATGTTTACGATGTTTTTCATACATCAGCGCGCAACAGGCTTTTTTCAATCGAGCCCTAGCCCACCTTCAAGGGGTGGTACCGTGGTGTCCGAATTCTGTGCAACGAGTTGTTTCGTCGATTGACAGTCTACTCACCGGGGTGAGTGAACGCCCAATATCCTGTTCCGCATGCCGTATTCGTCTATTTGTGGCCAACTACGACCGGAGAATAATGCCGGCTGTCCTAAATGTGGCGAAGAAAACTTTGGACAGTTCCACTGGTACCACTCAAAAGACGACGAGGCTGCGTAATCGGCGCGCGCAAGAAGACGATTGCAAGCAAGGCCTCTGGGGAACGACCGTTCGATGGTTTGCACCAGTACACAAACGCATTCCGCGCTGCGTACTTGTGATAATTAAATAAATAAGTATTTGGCAGAAAAAAAAAAAAAAAGGTGAACATGATTGAATTGGTTCGGCGCGAAAACAAAAGACAGGCATGATTGGATTGCATTGAAAATAAACCGATTTCTGTGAATACCCTATTCTGATTACCTTTATTACTTTTATTTACCCGCAGTACTTTTGGGTGAGTGCATCATGAGATGTTTCATAGACGTTTCAAGAAGCGGTACTACAGGGTCTCACAAATAAAAATTTACACGGTCTTTTTTACCGCAAAAATAAACTAGGCATCGCCGAGCGCTCATTTTCCGACCAAAAGGTAGAGCTAGAGGTCACAACCAGATGCCAAAGTTTCAGCCCGATCCGATAACTTGGACCACGCGACACCCAGATGCTATGGAGAGGCCGACGCGGTTGGCACACCTCCGATTTCTAGCACACCCTAGCAAGAGCGTACGGCAAAGAATCCGACACATGGCCATACAACAGCATGCTTTTAACGCCATCTGTACTTCGACAAAGCAATTGAAATAAGTGCTGTCGTTGCTGGTGTGCAATTACCTCTCCTGCCTTCCGCCCTCCATCCTGCCATTCACGCTTCGCCCCTCTCTTTTGAGGCCCCACCCCCTCGTTCACTGGCAGATCAGCGGCAATATTTGCCGGTTTTGCTTTCACAACAAACTGTTATATTTATTTTTGAATGTCACGGTTTCTAGATGTAGTACATCGGGTGGAATCGGTCTATGCACTGGTGCAGATCATCAGACTGTCGTTCATGTAATGACTTGCTTGATATACAGTTCATGATTCTTGCGCGCACCAATTTCCCGTGACAGAAGTCTTCACGCCACCCCATTGTCTTTGTGGGGTACGGTTCGAAATTCCAACTTAATTATGCTGCATATAAAGAGCAGTTTGACATCTGCGCTATTAAAACATCTTCATGCAGTCATTAACTTGGATGACTGCATTAATATTAGCCTGACCAGCAGAGTTCCAACTGTCTGTGCCAAATACAAATTGAATGCCAGCATCAAGGCAGCGCCATATATACAGAGAGTTTGGCCATTCATTGGGAAGTATATGATTCAAATGAGGAGACGCCATTGGCCGAAAGCGTGCTGGGCGTGTTCCATGGCTTCTTCACAAATTTGAATGTGGCCAACCAGAAGCCGGAAATAATACCTTGGCGGTGGTTACGAGAAACAAACTTAAGTGCATCGGAGTCACTCTCAGTGACTGAAAATATGGTGCACGTGATGTTTCAATCACAGTCATCCAAAATCGTGGTAGAGCGTGACTTGCGGAACGATTGACATAATCCATATGCCAGGTGCCGAGGGCTGAGAATCTGTTGTCCAAGCGGTCACACTCTGTCCAAGCAAAACAGTTTGAGCGGCACATTCGTTTCTTACATCTTTCTGCATGATCATAATCGAAACATAGTGTGCACCCTGTTTTCAACCATGAATGATTACTACATTTAACTCTTACGCACTTATTAAAACCATATACCTATGATTAAAACTGTTTCTTACTACCACCGCTAGGGGATACTTTTGGGCTTCTGATTGGCCAAGAGAGCATATCAAGTCCTCTTTCTGAGTCTGGTGCACGCCATGGCTCTGTCCGCACCTCCCAAAATTGGGTTTTTCGTATATTTATACAGCCCAGAACTTGGTCAGCCTCAACGGGCAATGAGTCTCCCAGCTGTAGATGAGAATCTTAGCCAGTGCAGTACAACCGCTAGCCTGTGGGCTTGTACCCAAATTTTGTTGGAATCTTGGGAAATTGGGCAGCATCTATTGCGAAAGTGACTGTGATTCAACCAGCTATTGTAAGAGACTCCAAACAATTGTGTCAATGGGGCCTCGCCCGAGGTTTTTCATTTGGGAGCAATATGCACGGCACTAGAAAAATGGCACGGAAAAACAGTTTTTCGATAATCTGATTAATTGTCACCGCGACGAATTTCCTTATGACAAAATGCGCTATGTGACGAACTGCCCTGCTTCCGATTGACCCGCTACAAGTTGTCTTTCAACGAACGGCCCGTAGCCTGCCTCGGCTAATCTGCATTTTTGCATTACCATAAAAATAGATAATCTAAAAAAAATTGGAGGACGGACGCTTGTCCATCAGTTTTATATATAAATGTACTGTGTGCATTTTCTCAGATCTTGCAAATTTGGGAACATGCGTTTAGTGTGGAACAGGTGGATACGTGGTATTCTACAGTATTAGCCCCGAGAGCGAACACAAGCGTCGCTGCGGTCGCCGCGCCCTGATTGGGTGAGGTGTACCGTGACGTCAGGGGGAGGACTCCGCTCCGCGATCTTGCATCGGCTCGCTTCCCAGCACCGATTTCCTGGTTTGGCGTTGTGTGCCGCAAGCTCTTCGAGGAGCTGGACTTCGCTCACCCGGTGTACAAGACGTTGAGTTAGGCCGATATTTTATTTATTTATTCAGGTAGCTCCTGCTGTGCCGTTGAGGCATTATTGCAGGGGGCGAACAACATAGTAAAAAACATTTCTGCATTTGCGGCACAAACAGTTTCAACACTTAAATTGTTCCAATCCCTAATGGTCCTAACAAAGAAAGAATTTTTGCACAGTTCCGTCCTGGTGGAATATTCGCGTATTTTGTGGATATGATCTTTACGTTGGGAAATATAGTAAGGGGGTAGAAGGTAATGAAAACCATTAATACCAGTGTGTTTATTATAAATGCTATATAGAAATTTTAAGCGCAAATTTTTCCGCCTGAATGTCAGCAAATCCCAGCCTAATGTATTCTTCATGTTCGTGACGCTCGAAAAGCGGTCGTACAGCCCCAGGACGAAGCGTGCCGCACGATTTTGGATCCTCTCTAAAGCGTCTATGTGATTTTGCTGAGCAGGATCCCACACAGTGCAAGCATAATCTGTAAGAGGTCGAACGTAGGTAAGGTATGCAAGTTCTTTTATTTTTTGAGTAAACCTTTTTAGATTACGCTGGATAAAACCGAGTGCCCGTCCCGCCCTCATGACGACATCGTCAATTTGCGCATTCCACTTGCAGTCTGCTAATAAGGTCACCCCCAGGTACTTTACTTTACCGTCATTTTTTAGTGGTTCATTATTTAAATAATACTGAGTGTGAAGTTTATTTTTTTTGCGGGTGAAGGTGACATGTACACACTTGCTGACGTTTAACTGCAATTTTGATAGACTGCACCAGAGTTCAGTTTGATCCAAATCAGCCTGCAGTTGTCTGGAATCCTCACCTTTTTTTATACATCTGTATACAACACAATCGTCAGCAAACAATCTTAGCTGAGAGGTCATGCCAACGTGAATATCATTTATAAATATTGCTTCCGTACATTTTATAAGTTTGCTTGTCCCTTTTACTTTTAAAATTGGGTTAGAAATCCCGAAAGCAATCGGCGGAGGCAATTCCGCCGATGCACCTCCCCGTCCGTGCACACGACACAAGGCAATCTTGCGAGGGGTCGATGAAGCGGTGGTGCATATGTTTCAGACGCTGGAATTCTGTCCCTTGCATGTTCATGATTTAGGACTATATTGCATCCCGCTTTCAAGGCAGTTGAAGTGTCATTTATATCATGGGCCTTTGGGTGGTCGGCAATTTAGCTCGCAACCCCGACTCTGCGCTGCCACTCTGCATGCGCTGGTTCACAGATGTTTTAAAGGCCCTATGTCTGATTATCTTTGAAGTGCTCGTGGAACAGGGTTGTTTTATATAAATGTAGTTTCTTCGTGAATTAATTATATAGTTTATACACGTCTGCAGGCATATTTCTTAGAAGACGCACAATTACTAGAAATTAGTTTGTATGGTAGCAGCAAAAACGGCCGAATCGCCCCCAGTTGCCTGTATGATATGTATTGTACTGCCCAAAATATGCACAGCAATAGTGCCGTAATTTGGAATGTTTATACTTTTTTTGTGACATTCTTTATTCCAGTCTTGGGTATTCGGAAAATACACCGTTTAGTCTGAATTGTCATTTCCAATTAAAAGAGACACTGCTGCAGGTCCCCAAAAGCTTCCTCAGCCTCCAAACTCCCTACAGCTGGACTCTCTGACAACAGAGGAAAACAGGAGTAAAAGCAAGCATTCGAACGTTGGTTCTGTGGTAGATGCAGCAATAGTAGCAGAAAATGTGGAACCTGTGAAGGGCGACAGTCTGCGTGAGAAAGGCTTCTGGTATTTTAGCTTCAGGACAATTCGATTTAAGTAAAATATCATTTTTAGGGCTTAAGGGACTAATATTGAGCTAGACACCTTCGCTTATGTTTGTTATACATTACTTTAGGGTTGATGTAAACAAGTCCACAGATACCACACGTGTAGTCCTTTGAAATACTATCCCAATCCAGCAAAGGTCAAATGTGAGCAGTGTGTATAATAAATGTTCCTTCTTTGTTTACTTTGGCCCTGTACTTGGACTATCTTACTTGTGATTCTCTCCCTATGGTCCAGACTGTATTTAGCATGTTGCTCGAGCAGCATGCAGTTTTTCTGCTTCGGCGATCGTGTAAAAAAAGCAGAGATACAAAAAAAAAATAGTATACATAACCTGCCAAATCATTCAGACCATCAGCAGCATTTATTGTGCGAGATGTAAATCTATAGTGATGCTCCTGCAATTGTGGCCATACTTCTTTATTTTCATATACCAGCTGTGATTCATGAGTTGCCTGCCCTGTCAACCATGCTTAAAATGTTGCTTGAAGTTTCGCCTGTAGCTACAGGCCATACCTAAATAAGGGCTCATATAAAAATTTACACTTCCTACGAAAAACACACCAAAAAAATTAAATAGCAACGAGCGCGCCGACAGCTAGCGTCGTCACAGCCTCCGCAGGGCGAGCGGGCCGAGTC